CAGCGCCTCGAATTACCCCAGGTAAGCAAAAAAACTTCAACTCGAGAAATTGCCGAGCCGCTGCCTCTAAGTCAATAAAAGCAGTCTATTTACCTTGACATCTTCAGAGATTTCTGAGTCTAGCTTGAACAGTGTAATGAAGACTCCACCGGGAGTACGCCTTCTTTGCCCATTTTCAATCTAGAACAATATGAATCTATTACCGCATTGTCAATTTTGTTGAAAATGATACCATCATTCCACCATGAGATTCTACATTGCGAGTTTCTTCAAAAAGTGCAAGTGCCTAAAACATAAATGATCGTGTGTCAAGCAAAGCGTTGATCGCCTTACTTTTTCCATTCCACAAGCCTGTACAATACTTTTGACAGTTCTTGGATCACGCTCGCCCATAGCTCTTGCCATCTCATCTCCAAGCTCCTCTATCGAGATGTCAGAAGCGAACTCAGTCGCCATAAGCGTTTCGAGCGAATAGGAGTCCAGGAGAAGACCAGTTGGACTTTCAACCTAAAAGCCAAAAAGTCATTCAAATGAAGTTAAAAATGTTCCAAACATTCTACCGGTTTGCCAGTCCATGACCGCTTCAGATTGTTGGTAGCTGCTCCACCCCTTCCCCGCAAATTCCCTCGATGTCCACCACGAAACTGACCACGAGGACCGCCACCTCTACCACGAAATCCTGCAATATAAAAAAATTTCATTTCAAGAAGAGTGTTTGTCAGAAAAAAAACTTGCAGCTCAAAAAATTATAAATGTGGAGCAGCTCTATCAAGTACAAAGGTCAGTCTGGACGTCAGCAAACCCGTCTCTCATAGCGCGCTGATCTCCAATTTTGGTAGTGGAAAAAACCATGTGGATGTTCTCTATCCGAATAAACCCATTACTGATGCAACATACATAGGTACGTCATATGTACAGGGCGTCCCAAAAAAGCGCTTCAATGTCTTTTTTCGTTTTCAATCATGATTCTGTAGAGCTGGGTTCAACACAGATTTACAGTAAGGAGCGAATCACCTATTACTCTTCATTACCGTGGGATTGCGCTAGGACCTTCCACTACACAGCGCCAATCTAGGTCTATCGGGAAAATTTTCCAAAAAAAATCAGATGTAGGAGTTTTTATGAGTATTCGTTTCACTATAGAGCTCTTTACGAGCTCTTAAGCTATTGCATAGTGTAATTTTGAGAAACATCAAAAACAGTTTTTACAGCCTTACTGTCATGACTGTGATAGAACAATTATGGTAACAAGCGAATTCCATACTTGATATCAGCCAATTCGATTAGCGTAGTGTAAAAGTTCTCAGCTTTTAGTTCCCATGTAGAATCAAAAAAGCAAAGTCTCCAGCGCAATCCTAAATAATATAGCCAGTGATTTGTTTCATACTGCAAATCTAAATTGAAGTCAGCCCTGCACAATGACACCTAAGAACAAAAGACACTGAAGCAAGAGAGTTTACTGATGACCAAACGATAGGGATATCTTCGGGTTCCTGAATAATCGCTTACCTCCTCGGTGACCAAAACCATTCCGAGATCGCGGGACAGACTTGTCGTCCAGCCGATCGCAAAATGCAGTCTCTGGCAGATCAACGGGAGCATCTCCAAACGGATCATCTGCTGCAGCTGGAGCTGGCTCAGGCTCCGCAGACTGGAAAAAGTGCGGATGGCTTGAACACAGAATGTTGATCGAAAACAAACAAACAGTATAACCAGGGTCAAGCGTAGGGTGTGGCACGCCACAACGGGGTCGCACTGAGGAGCCAGAAAGAGAAGGGGGGTCGTAATCGAGTGCTACTTATAATAGCGATATTTA